TTTTTTTTTTTTTTTTTTTTTTTTTATTTCCTTTAACTCCTAGTGGAGCATAGGGCCTTGAGATAAGAATTCTTTATCTTTCTGGTTTCTGTTGATCAATTAATTCAGATAAATCGGTGATCAGCCGATTGTATCCTACATTTCTTATGATTTTGCCATATTCTATATGGCGTTGGATTTCTATTTTACGTGTCTGTGCTGAAATCCATACCTTTGTTGTACACAGACACGGTTGACACATTATTTTACGACTACATACGATGTTCTAAACGGTCACCCATTTATCTCCTGACCAAGGCTTGTGCAGCTTAACTCAGTTGATCGAATAGTGCCGCAGTAGTCGTAGTAGCCACTGTGCCCAGCTTTATTCATAGGCAATCCGAAAACACATTCACATTACACTTAATGGACCTTTTTCTTCGATTAGTCGAAGTATGTATAAAAGCTCAAAAATAATGCTTTGGCAGACCGATTTGTCCATTTCTATCAACTTTCTCTCAATCTATCCAACCAATTGTTGCACGTTTCAAGTATTTTGGACCTTCGCCTATAATATACATCCAAAAACAGAGGAGAAATAATTAATTTGGTGTCTTTTTGTGAAGTTAAAAAGGATGGTCCTTTTTTCATAGAAAGCATTTCCATATAGCATATATTTTAAGAACTGAGCCATTATTGTGGTTTTTCCTGCTTGCAAAGCACATTTTTGCCTTTAATCTGATAGTTTCCAACAAATTCAATCGATTTCACCAATAATTGGTTGATAATGCAAAAAGTACGGTCGTATTCCCAATTTAAATACTGAAACCCTTCAAAATTGTCATAAAGTACCGAAAACTGGGTTGGTCAAGCAAAAATTCATTTCTGGCGATTCTTATGGTTACTGCACATCCCAAGGTGAACCAAAACAATGGATTTAGACACGATCATTAGTAATCAGCAAAATAAGTTACGAAAAAATTGCATAGGGTGTCAAAAATTGGATGTTCACTTCATCTCATAGCATGTTGCACTGAAAAATTCAACATTTTGGATAATGAAACATTCATCTCCAAATCGAACCACGAATCAAGTGCAACTGGTTTCTTTTGCATTGATTATGTTCGGGCACTACTACATAAGGCTAGAGACGTCGACAAACTGAATTTTGATAAAGGGGTGTTTGTATGGTAGGCTCTTCTTTGAAAGGTGCCTTAGAGCCATTATTCGAACATTTGATGCTGAAACGTAAGGTAAAACCTCCATTAGATGCTCCATTATCAACCAAATATTGTTGAAGTCGATAGAATTTGTTGAGAACTATCTGATTAAAGACAAAATTGTGCTTTGCAAGAAGAAAAAACCACATTAATGGCTCACTTCTTAAAAAATAGAATTTTCATGAAAAAAGGACCATCTTTTTAACCTCACAAAAAGACACAAAATTAATTATTTCTCGTCTGTTTTTGGATGTATGTTATAGGTCCAAAATACTTGAAACGTGCAACAATTGGTTGGAAGGTTTGAGAGAAAGTTGAAATAAATCGACAAATCAGTTGTCCAGAGCATGATTTTGAAGGTTCAAAGAATACTGAGACAATGGCCCGTTAAGTGTAAAGTGAATGTGATATTCGATAGCCTATGAATATAGGTTCATACCAATAAAAAAGGATTTAATATTGTATGTTTGTTGTTCAAATGGCGAACATCTGAATTTACTGTCAAGACTTTATGGATATATGTTATAGCAATAAATTCTTCTTCTTTGTAAACGTCATTTGAATATTCAAGTTTTCTGCTATCGACGCTTAACCATTTCGCGCTTCATAAGTCCCATTCTGACGAGCATTTTTTCCATGTTTTTTTTTTGATTTTATTGTGCATTCAACATAAATTTTGTTTTTACAGAAAATGTATGTGAAGTGTAGTCTTTTTATTTTTGGCCGATACATTTTTCCATCTCACAGCAATGCATGTTTTGTTGTTGTTCCATTGTTTATGTTCACTTTGGTTATGTTTTGTTTGAACTATTTTACTTTATTTAAATTAGTTTATTTCGGTAAAACCTCAATTTTCCCTGCTTGCCAATAATTAAATATAGCTATTGCACGAATACAATATTTAAATTTTAACTTGTTCAAATTAATTTTAAAAAATCGAAAATAATGTAAATAAACCAAGAGCGATGAAAACAAAAAAATGTGCCAGTGACAGCTGTCTTTAATGAATAATTTTACTTTCGAAACTCAACGAATTTCACAACACTTTTTACCTGAAGTGTTTGGATCTTATCTTCGAGGTTCGTTAACCGCTCTTCCACAGCTTTTTGTCTGCTTGACATTTCAGATACGATTTCATAAACGTTATGTTGTGTCTATTAAAATTCATTGAAAAGAAATTAAAATTTATTTGAGAAACAAAACAATTTCTTTATCTGCTTGTTAAACAAAAAATTTCTTTTTATACCTTTGCCATATCTGTTATAGTATTTGCATTGTCCATAAGTTTTCTTTGATCCATTTTTACTTTTCTTAATCTTAATTTGGATAATTTAATTCATTTAGCTTATTTTAAATTCAACATTTGAAATTACTTTGAACTTACGCATAGATTGCCAATAGGAATTTCCTCTGATGCGTTCGAACTCGACCAGGGTTTACTCGTTTCGCCAGTCTCGTATGCTTGTAGATGAGCCAAGTTTCTCTCAACACATTCGCTGCTGCATTTTTGAGCTGTTAAATATTTATATTAAATACAAATTTAATGTATTATTTATTATAAAAACATTATTATTACGCTATTATTGTCTAGGGCCCCTGTATTAACACGTAATATAAGCGACATAAAATACGTGTCATTAATACCGTAATTTACGAAGTTAAAAAATTCTAAAAGAATTGGCACGTGGGTTTCGCGAATTACTACTTTCCCAATTAAATTCAAATTTTATAATAATGACTGCACATTGGATGACTTTTTTGAAAAAAATTAAGTATTAAAGACTACAGCCCAGAATAGATGTACATCCTTATACAAGGATGAACTGATTCCAAAACAGCCATTTTTTATGGAATTATATGTCATATAGGGTGGCGACTTCTACAAGAGTGAAGACAACTTTTTCAAAAATATCGAGAATAAAATGTCTTACATCCGTTAGATGAACTTTTCCGCACTGTGGTCCACAACATGCATTTATTACATATCTTTTACCGTGAATATGA